CCGTGCTAAACTCTTGACAGAACTTAGTAGTGCCAAGGATGTGGTTATAGAAGAGGGCAGTGCTGGAGAGACAGGAAAAGCAGTATGCCTGATGATGTTTCTGCATTATATAAATAAAAATGATGTTTTTTTTATCTACTTAGTTGCTTTGTCGGTGAGCAGGTCTATATTTTGTCTTAGTCCGGCTGGTGACACCCCTTCATCCGCAAGATTGTTTGATGCAATCATCAGTGGGTGCATTCCTGTTGTAATTAGTGATGAACTGGAGCTCCCTTTTGAGGGCATAGTTGACTATCGAAGGGTAAGCGTGTACTATTGAAGGTTTGGCCATCCAAATGGCTCTTTCAGTGCATCTCCTACATAGATAACATGAGTTGATGAATTGAAAGAGAGAGGATCAACATAAGATGTTCATAATCTAAAATTTCAATTTTCCATTTCATTACTTGAAAGAAATACTAGTATTGATGTCATAAGATTTGAGTAGTAGATTGAAGAAATTAATCAAATAGCTTTGAGAAGATTCCTCCACATGAATTTCATAACATAAATATAATAATAGCTAGTGAATTTTTTTAAGCAGCAGCTTTGTCATAAAACTGTATGTTACATTTTTTATATTAATATAATTCTACATGATGCTTTGGGTTGATGATGTAGGCTGTTGTTTTACTTGCAGATAGCTTTATTTGTTTCTTCTAGCGATGCATTGCAGCCAGGATGGCTCTTGACATTTCTGCGAAGTGTTAGTCCTGCTCAAATCAAAGAGATGCAATTGAATTTAGCCAAGGTATGTGCATCCCAAATTTTTTAACATAGCTAATCTCACTCCCCATGCTTCAACTTATTAGTCGTATTGGAATTAGGGCTGCAGCGATTTCTTCTTACACCATTTATAATATATGAATCAAACTTCAAAGCCCTGCACACCATGTGTTCAGTAACTTTGATTTGCTTTCGATTGCTGGATCTGAGTTGGTAAACAACGTGAAATTGAATTGAGTTTAAACATCATTACATTGCAGCACTCGAGGCATTTTTTGTATTCTCACCCAGCTCAACCAATGGGGCCGGAGGACTTGGTTTGGAGAATGGTGTGTTACACTATCTATCTTCATTTAATCTTAATAGGCAGCCATCATTATTTAGTATTCTTGTTGCTTCAATCTATAAAATTATTTTGCAAGAATTGAAATACTAAGAGGTGCTCTTTCACACAGTACCGTTGATGGATGCTAAGTTTTTTAAGATTTGAATTTTGTCGGGAGGAATGATGGCTTGGTGTTGGCTGTTGGCCCCTTGTTTAAGAGTAGAATAAGCTAGATGGGCCACTCTTCTGGGTTCTTTTGAACTTCTGGATATTCTCTCTCCCTATTTTGGAGGGGGGG